TCGGAGTAGAAGGAAAGTGCAGCAGAGATCTCTCCAACAGAACCAGTACGTACCAGTAGGTACCAGCAGAAATCTTGCGGGGCACGCGCAATATGTGCGAAGCATGCCGGGTGGGGTAAATGTGCCGCAGGCCAGGCTGCTCTGAACCAATCCGCTGCCAGCAAACATGAACATCACAAGTCGCACAGAGATTGTGTCTGCACGTCAGGACTTAAGAGCGACGAACGTCGGCAGGCAGCCATGGGCGGATCCTGGGGGGGGGGGGGGGGCACGGGGCCATGGCCGGCCCCCTCAAAAAGACCTCTGAGAGTATGTTTTGGCCCCTCCCAAAACATTCCCAGAACTTCATGAAAGTTTCGTCTACTTACTGTCTGTTTTGACTTTAACTTTTAACTGTTTTGTTTCAACTTCTGTTTGAGATTCAAAAGCATTTCGGTGTTTTTTCGGTTTTGAATGGTTTGTCCCTACTAGGTACTCGCGAGAGGCACCATGCGCTGGACCTCAGATCCCACACCAGCCAGCTGGCGACGAACGGTTTCCCCCCCCCCCCCCCCAACTCCAGGCTAGATCCGCCCTGCACCCTGCAGGCAGCAGTTCTACGGAGAAGTTTTGACGAACAGAGCTTCCACTCAACAACAAATGCAAAGGGTAAATATACATGTGGCACCTGACTGATACCAAAGCTGGATATTTTCTCGCAGACGGGATCAGAGGGGCGTCGAAAGATATCACCAAAGGGTCCCCAGACACACCCAAACAGTCCAAAACCACGTTTTTGAACACAGTGCATACGACGACGACACGCTTGTCATGCTGACATGTGGCGTAGTAGAGTCCCTGCCATCTCCGTCACCCTTCCGCCGTCATCGAGTGCTCTGGTGGAGACGGGCAGTTTGACCTCTCCAAGATATGCCCGGAATAACTTCCGGGTGGTGGGGCGTGGCGACACCAAACGAGGCATAGCCCGGTCAATGAATAGCTTGCCTCGTGACGTAAAATCATGCGCTGCGTCCCTGAAGGTCGCTAACGGATAGCGGCTCGCATTCAGGCCATGGCTGGCACCAAAGACAATTGCGACTTTTTCTTTCAAGGTTTCTCTCAAGGTTTCTTCGATAATTAAATTAAGATGACAGCTCATCTCATTGGCCTTGGATCAGGTATGAATGTCGGGTCGAAGTCAAAGCGGCATAGTTTTTCGTAAGAAAACTTGTTTTATCGGACAACTCTCGGCGCGTGTTTGAAATTGCTCGATCGTAATGCTGTCAACAGATTTCTTGTTCGACTTCATGAATGGCGTGGATGGTGACGAACACGCCACACACGGGCAAAAAACAACGATATCACTGACCTTGGATCAGGTATGAAGGTTGGGTCGAGGTCAAAGCAACAGAGCTTTTCTTGAAAAAAACTGATTTGTGGGGCAGCCTTTGACACTAGTTTAAATTGTTTGATCGCAATGCTGTCAACAGATTTCTTGTGGTGACGAACGCTCCACACGGGGACAAAAGAGACGATAATCGATAAGCTGTCGCTCTCGCCCACAAGTTGAACTGACATCCGAACACAAACTTTCTTAAATCAGAATTTGTAAACTGGAGAACCCCACCATCGCACGCGCAGCCCATCCACCCGCTCCACTCCTCGCGCCGTGCGCTGTGGACGTTGTGGAAGCCGCCCGCTGTGGACGTTTCAGAAGCCGTGCGTTATGGCGGATGGCGAAACCGGTGTATTTGGTGATGCCCACCCAGGTTTAGGCTGTGGTTTTCAGAAACTAAGGGACGGTATACAGAAACTAGACTTCGACCGGTAGCACCTGACAAACATGCGGATCACATGAGGTATTCCGCATGGTCTCTTCAAAGCACCAGCTAGGCCGATGGGTTAAACTCAGTGTGAGCGTTGTTCTCGCAAGGAAGCACCGCGACCCGGCGCGTATGTTGATGGGAGGTAGCGATGTACTGCACTTCGGCGGGATCTCCTGGCTCCTGGTCATATCTGGGAGAACGCTTGCGGTGTTGAGCAAACTGTCACCTGGGCTTGCTACGCAAACCGTCACATTGGCTTTCTGATATTTGGCAGACACATTCGCCTTTCGATGTCTAGCAGACTGTCACCCACCTTCCGATGCTTGACAGACTGTCACACCCGCCTTCCGATGTTTGACAGACTGTCACCCACCTTTCGATGTTTGACAGGCTGTCACCCCCTTTCAATGTTTGACAGGCTGTCACCCACCTTCCGATGTTTGACAGACTGTCACACCCACCTTCCGATGCTTTGACAGACTGTCACGCCACACCTTTCGATGTTGACAGGCTGTCACCCACCTTCCGATGTTTAGCAGACTGTCACCCACCTTCCGATGTTTGACAGACTGTCACCCACCTTCCGATGTTTGACAGACTGTCACATCCACCTTCCGATGTTTGACAGACTGTCACGTCCCCACCTTCCGATGTTTGACAGACTGTCACGCCCACCTTCCGATGTTTGACAGACTGTCACACCCACCTTCCGGTGTTTGACAGGCTGTCACACCCGCCTTCCGATGTTTGGCAGACTGTCACCCCACCTTTATGTTTGACAGGCTGTCACCGACCTCCGATGTTTGACAGACTGTCACGCCCACCTTTCGATGCTTAGCAGACTGTCACGCCCACCATCCGATGTTCGACAGGCTGTCACACACCCCGCCTTCCGATGTTTGGCAGACTGTCACCCACCTTTCGACGTTTGACAGGCTGTCACCCACCTTCCGATGTTTTTAGCACTGTCACCCACCTTCCGATGTTTGACAGACTGTCACACCCACCTTCCTATGTTTGACAGACTGTCACACCCACCTTACGATGTTTGACAGATTGTCACCCACCTTCCGATGTTTGACAGACTGTCACACCCACCTTCCGATGTTTGACAGACTGTCACATCCACTTCCGATGTTTGACAGACTGTCACATCCACTTCCGATGTTTGACAGACTGTCACATCCACTTCCGATGTTTGACAGACTGTCACATCCACTTCCCGGACTGCAACAAGCAGTCAGAGTGTGACAAGTCCAACTGCGTCTCCCTCTCCGGGGAGATACCGAACATCGAGTACGCCCGCATCGGAATACGGGTGAGCGCTCGATCTGTCGCCGATCCGGATGCGGGTGAGTGCCCGATCTGTCACAGATTCGGATACGGGTGAGTGCCCGGTTTGTTGCGTATCCGGATGCGGGCGAGTGCCCGATCTGTCACGGATACGGATACGGGTGAGTGCCCGATCTGTCGCCGATCCGGATGCGGGTGAGTGCCCGATCTGTCACGGATTCGGACACGGGTGAGTGCCCGGTCTTTTTCGTATCCGGATGCGGGTGAGTGCCCGATCTGTCACGGATACGGATGGGTGCCCGCTCCGTCACGGATCCGGACACGGATGAGTGCCCGATCTGTCACGCATCCGGATATGGGTGAGTGCCCGATATGTCACGGATCCGGATCCTGGCGAGTGCCATATCCGTCATCGATCCGGATGCGGATGAGTGTTTGATATGTTGCGGATCTGGTTGTATATGTCGATCATCGATTGGCTACCCTCGCCATGGCTCGACCAGTGTGGACACGGGATCTGTGGACACTATGGACACAGGATCGACTTGGTGAGGGCGGGTGTCCTGTTCGTGCGGTGCCGCGCGAGCCAGCAGGGCCAGATCCCGCCGGAAGCTAAACCCACGCTAGCGTGTACCCTGTTTTTGTGTTGTTTTTTTTTTTGCACGACGCTGAGTGGGCTGAACATTCAGAGGCGGTGAAGGAACTAAAGAGAGAAAGGTCTCTTCATCCACAATTCTTTTACGAAACTGCGCCCCTGTTTGTGAAAGGTCTGTTTGTGCTTGACTCGCGTCGCGTTGTTTTGATTAGTAACCCTGACTGACTCGAATGTGAGTTGGACGTTGGTTTGACGCTGCAGCTGGCTCAGGCTATGAGTCATACATCATAAGATATGAGTCATAGTCACATATATATGAGTATATATCAAGACTCGTCAGCCCTGACTCAGATTTTGTTCACCTTCATGATGGCTGCCTCGGTGACACCGATCCTGCCTTAGATCTTGATTGACCCTGCTGGCGACCCCGGGACCCGAATCTGTCTCGGGTCCTGTTTGGCTCTGTCCGTGACCCAGGTCCTAATGGCGCACTTGCTGCTGGAAGCGCGACCCCCAGCCCACCTTCCTGTGTGCCCTAACGCAATTCTGCGCCCTGGCGGGCCCCCCCGTGTCCGCGACCTTGATCGTAGCTCTTAAACCGTCTTCTCATGGCCTCGACCCTGACCTATACTTCTACCTCGACCTCCTCCCCGATCCCCAAACCTGACCTCAAACCTGACATCAAACTTGACTTCAGACCTGACCTCAAACGACCTCAAACCTGATCTCAAACCTCACCTCAAATCTCACCTCAAATCTTACCTCAGATCTGACCTCAAACCTGTCAACCTGACCCAGACCTGAACTCAAACCTGGCCTCGAACGGGGACTTCGAACGATGACCTCGACCCTGGACCTCGGCCCTGAATCTTGACCCTGGACCTCGACCCTGGACCTCGACCCCACCTTGACCCAGAACTCGGTCCCGACGGTCTGTGGGGGACTCCGCCGCCGTGACCTTGAGTTAATTCTGACACGACCGCTCGTGTGACCCGTCCGTGACTCTGGCCGTCAGCTGCTGCAGCCGCTGGTGTTCAGCGTCACACTGCCCCACTCGCACCCGCTGCACCGGAAACGGCACGCTGCGCGAGACCCGCGACATCCCCGACCCCTGGAAGACGCACATCGAGTGGGCTGAGAACCGCTTTCGGGGTCAAGGTGAGGGCGGCCGGCGGCGCGGTGTGGCGCCCGCCCGCCCGCCTCAAGGTCACGGTCGTTCTGCAAGCGCCCTGTGTGCTGCGCTACCATACAGGCGTGACGCGTGTGTGGTTCAATGCTGCGCGACTTACTAGCGGCTGCGTTTCGCTTCATATCCCGTAGATCACGATACAGTTGTGTGGTGTTTAAGCTGGTATTTATTGGGTGTTCTGTGTTGTGTGAACAATTCGCAAGCTCCGTGCTGTTTCTCCTAAAAACGTCTTTGTGCAACGTGGTGTGATTTGTACTACTTTCCGAGTGCCTCTGAGCTGGTCTGAGCCCATGTAATCGTGTGCCCATGTGCTCATGCTCGTGAGCTCGTGAGCTCGTGAGCAGGTCTGGAGCTCGGGCGTAGTAAAGGAATGTGACGCATACCGTGTCCGTTACTAGTTTTGCCCTCATCGTTACGGTCAGGTCAACCCGAAGGCGAAGTCATCCAACCAATATACGGCCCTCTCATCAAGGGCTCGGAGGAGAACTCTGAGAATATCCAGGTACGTGGTGTAATATATCCAGGTATGTAGTGTAATATGTCCAGGCACGTGGTGTAATATCCAGGTACGTGGTGTAATATATCCCAGGTATGTGGTGTAATATATCCAGGCGCGTGGTGTAAGCGATTCGAGACCGTCGGGGTATTTTACGTTCGGGATCTGCTTTGAAGCAGGTTTGAGTGCTTAGCATGCGAACCCCGTTTTCCCGCAATACGGCCCCTTTGTCTGAAGCTATTCAGAGTTTCGGATACCTTGCTGTGGATGTGTAAGGGATGGCAAACCGGGAGAACTATCTATACTTTGAAGAAAATATCTGGACAGCGAGCAAGTTTGACGTGGCCGCCTGGCGCAAGTTAACCAGCGAGTAGGATGACTGGGCAGTTGAGACTCGGATCGTGATGCGGGATGGAGACAAGCCAGTCCATAACGCTGCAAACGAGCGTCCGCAGCCGGTTCGCGGTCGGTGATGCTTCTCACCGCGAAAAAATGAAATTAGAAATGCAGTTTGAAGAAACGGTTTTGTGTTGTGACACTGCATTGCGTCACGTAACATCAGCCGTCCGATGAGTTTTGTAGGCTGGCTGGAGGGTGTTACTGGGCGTCTCCAGCCTATGTGGGTGTAAGCGCTCCGTGGCGCCGCTGCTCAGTGTGTGCGACGCCTAGATTTGGTAGCAATAAAAACAATGCATTTTTCTGGTAATACTTTGTGGTTTTACAGATTTAAAAAGTTAGTGCTACGGTTGTAGGTGTGAGTGAAAGTTGCATTTGTCTGGTGTTCTGGCCCCTGTCCTTACCGTCGGCGTGCCGCCTGCCCGCTGGGTCGTTGACCTCTGCGACCTCGGCGTGACCCCGCCCAGGCGGCCCACCGACATGCGATCACCGAGCTGATCCACCGACACTACCCGCAGAGGCGGGCCACGTGACCAACACTATGGAGATCTCCATCCACCACCACAAGATCGTCCAGGGAAACGTGAAGCTGATCATGCAGAGACGGGTGCGTTGCGGGCGGCGGTGGTCGCGCTGCGGCAGCGTTATCAACGGTCCAGGGTCTCGTTCAGTGTTCCGATTAGTTTTAGTCCGTTCATTTTGTTTTAGGGGATCGGGCCTACCGCAGGATAACTGTTTTGTTGCATGCGCAGCAAAATGCGGTATCTTCTGGTGGCATGGTATCTGTCTTTACGGCATGTTTTTCTTATTCACGCTGAAGCATCAAGTAGAGTTGTGGGTGTGACGTCAGCCCTCATTGGAATCGAGTGCGACTCGGTGATCCTTCAAATGTGGCGACAACTAAGGTCCTTGCATTACGGAAGTGTTGGCTGCAGAAAGAGGACCATCTATTTATTGCCTCCTCTGTTATTTACTCGTTGAGCGAAACCATATTGCTTGAAGCATCCTGTTGCGCCGTTGACCTTGCTGCTGTCCGGAGGGGTTTTCGTGGCCTTACTGCCGCCGGAGTGGTTTTCGTTGACCTTACTGCCGTCCGGAGGGGTTTTCGTTGACCTGCTGCTGTCCGGAGGGTTTTCGTTGGCCTTACTGCCGCCGGAGGGGTTTTCGTTGACCTTACTGCCGTCCGGAGGGGTTTTCGTTGACCTTGCTGCTGTCCGGAGGGGTTTTCGTAGGCCTTACTGCCGCCGGAGGGGTTTTCGTTGACGTTACTGCTACTGCCGTCCGGAGGGGGTTTCGTTGACCTTACTGCCGTCGGGAGGGGTTTTTCACTCGTTATGCGCGCCCCCATACAGTGCGGTGTGGGGCACCTGGCTGGGCCTGTCTGTTTGGTGCTGAGCATTTGGTGCTGGCTACTGGGCTAACCTGAGGACGTTCCCCAGTTAGCTCAATGGTAGAACGCTGGACTCTTAATCAGAAACACCCGCTTGGAGTCCAAGGCATTTCAAGGAGAAAATTCGGGTTGTGGAGACATGGTTGAAAGTCAAACGCCATGCAGTCTCTCAAGACTCAATATAGTAATGATGACGGAAGTTGTTCAGGGAATTAGCGAGGAACATAGTCACATAGGCAGTCACATTAACCTTATTACTCGAAAAAAACAGGAGAATGGAGATATAGTTAGGCATGTTGCCAGGCTGATATTTCGGCATCATGCCGTTCTCGAAACAAAGTAGAAGTGAATTCAGAATTTCCTGCCGATGATCCTACTCAATTTTTCAGTTTTTTTTTAAAAAGAGAAGCTACAATTGCCGAAATATCAACTTAACTTTATCTCCATTCTCCTGGTTTTTCCGACAAATGATGACGGGTTGACCATTAGTTAATCAGAACAACTTCGTCGTCGTAGCCATCTTCGCAACGTCAGTGGTGAAATTCCGGGCGTAACTGGCTCACTCTGTACCGTGAAGAGTGTTGACTAGTGTTGGGCGATCAGAACTCAGCGGCGAAACTCCGGGCGTAACTGCCTCACTCTGTACCGAGAAGGGTGGCGACTAGTGTTAGGCGACCAGAGCTGAATTGCGCTCTGACATGATCTGGACTGATCGTCCAGCAACAACCTGACTAAAAATGACGCGCGTCTCCTGGCCAGATGGTCGCGTAGTTCTAGTTTCCTGGTTCATTTTTCTTAAATGGGGAGGGGCATCCAGTCCCTACCAACGTCAGCCCCTTTTTAATGTGATGTGTGGACTCGCTCATCTTGCTGGGAATATCTTCAACCCTTAGTCTGCCTTCCTGCTCTGTGAAAAGTGACCTGAGTCATGTCACCCAATTTGTTGGCGTGCTCCAACGCCGTCCAATTAAAACACTGACCCGTCTGGCGCAAGACCTGTCATGACCTGTCATGTCATGATATGTCACCCCAATTTGTTGACGTGCTCCAACGCCGTCCAACTAAACACTGACGTCTGGCGCATGACCTGTCATGGCCTGTTATGTCATGATATGACCTGTCATGACCTGTCATGTCATGATATGACCTGCCATGACCTGTCATGTCATATGACCTGCCATGACCTGTCTTACATGATATGACCTGTCGTGATCTGTCATGTTCGCCGTGCCTAATCATCGCCTCCTCGTCTGACTCCATCTGGCACCGCCGCCACGCAGCGTAGGACGCCGGCGGGGCCGTGACCCGGCGGTGCCACGGCCCGTGACCCTTGACCCGCCGTCCGACCCAGGCGCCGTGATCCTGTTCCCGGACGCCGAGGACCGTAACATCCCGCAGACGAAGAAGGGCAGCGTGGTGATCTGCGGCCCGGTGCGCGCCGTCTACAGGGCGCGCCAGCTGCTGATCGTACGTCGCCGGGGTGGTGCCGCCCCAGTCCGCGGCGCTGCGGCCGCCGGCCGAGCCGGGCGGGGCGGGGCGGGGCGAGGCGGGGCGCTGCGGGTACATGACCGTCAGAGTGGCCTCCCTGGACGCTGTGAATCACGGACCGTCGTGTTAAGTAAAGTGATTGGTTGTAAACGTGCTTTGTTTGTGTCTTGGGGTATGTTTGTGTCTTTTTTGTTTGTGTAATTTTCTCTTCACGAGCAGCGCCACGATGATACTTAACACTTGGCTTGAAGTCCGCTTCACCTGGTCCGTCTCGGCGCTTAACGTGGAGGCTGCCGTTTCAACAAGCCGAATCATAATTATCACGTGTCATTCTTGTGTTTGTCGGGGTTTTATTAATCTTTAAGGCCGTTTTGCACAGTACGCTTAGCATAGTTTGGCACGACACGTCACGCGTTGGAGTGGTGCGCATTTCAAGCCGCCTGAACCGGAGGCGTCTGCGTTCAGGGCTCGTTGCCGATCAAGATGACGTTCGAGCTGGCGGCGAAGCAGGACGCCTGGTGGCCGTCAGGAGACGCTGAAGCAGATGGAGTTCGCGCATGACGTTACCATCTCGCTGCCGCAGAAGAACCGCGACAACGCCGTGCTCGTCACCATCATGGCGATGGAGCGCAACATCGGTAGGTGGTGATGCCATCGGTGGTGGTGCCGTCGGTGGTGGTGCCGTCGGTGGTGATACCATCGGTGGTGATGCCATCGGTGTGATGCATCGGTGTGATGCCATTGGTAGAATCACAATATCGGTGGTGGACGCAAATCTGGGCGGCGAAGCTCTGGGGAGGTCCGGACAGTTCGTTGTTTGACTGAAAACTCGGCCCGTACCCGGCGGATTCTGCTCGAGTTGTGGGGCCATGGTTTCGTTGCCTTCGCCCCCGCTCCCCCCCCCCCTCCCCCGCGGGGTCTATGCGTGGGGTCCCGTTCGGTGCGCTCAGGCGGCGTTCAGCCGTTCAGTTGCAGATTTAAAACGGGTGCCGGGGTGAGAGGGGGGTCCTGCAGTAGACGCGGATCGAGATGGGCCGCGCCGAGGGGGGGGGGGGCATCGTCAGCTTCCCGACCCTGGTAGTGGCCTGGGAAATGGGACGACGCAGCCGCGCCGTCGGAGCGTCCCTGAGAAGCGGCGTGCGCGTGGGTCACTGAGTGGTCCGGGGCGGGGATAGGCGCAACATCGGGGGTGTGGCTTCCGGCAGAGATGGTGACGTCATTGGATGGAGGTGGGCTTGGCGTGGCGACCGGTGCGCCCGTCGGTGCTGAAAGAGAGCTGGAGCCCGAGCCGAGCCCGAGCCCGAGCCCGAGCCCGAGCCCGCCCGAGCCGAGCGGTGGCGAGGCTTGAGCGAGCCGAGCAGCGACGGGTGGCTGCGAAGATCGCTGGCTGGAGGACATGACACCGTGGTGACTTACTCTCTACGCGGCCTTCCCTCACCGCAGCTCTCGAACAGCCCGGTTGATCTCGCCTCTGTTTTGAAAGAGGACAAGTGGTACAAATATGTGTTGGAGCAACTTAAGTAAAGTAGAAAGCAATGCCTCTGAGTTCTTTCTCGGGACTGCATCCCAGCTGGGGATAAGCCTGTAGGTCCGTGGTCAGCGGGATGAGACTCTGTCCGCGATTTATTACTGCGTACGAAATCTCGGCAGTCCAATGTAGCTTCAAGTGGGCGTCAACTTATCGTCTTTCCGCTACTGCGTTTTGGTAGTGTCTTAACGATGCACTAAAACACGCTGATCAGATCGCTGTTGCGGTTTCTTCCCTTCCCCGTAGACTTTCTTACAACGCCCGGTCCCCTGAAATTGGTTACGCCCGGTGTTGCCCAATTTTCGGACAGTCCCAGACCCTTGCCTCTCTTCCGGACTGAGAGAGCACGTAAACTGCGCGCGTGATGTGTTGTTTGGTTTTGAGAGCCATGACTGTTCGGTGATGATGAGCCATGACTGCATGAATGTGTGTGTGCAAATTATCACCGAAGCACAACCGCACCCAGACCCTCCCGCCTCCCCCTGCCGTCCTCCGCCAGCGGTGGGCGGCCGGGCGCCGTGACAGCCGGCGCCCTGCGTCGGCAGGCGGCGTGTACACGGCTCGCCGGGACCTGCTGGGCCTGGCCGGGCCGGCCGTGGTGCCCGGCGTGCCGGCCAGCTACCTCTTCGACGCGGCGCCGCGTCTGCAGGGGGCGCACGGGCTGTTGGCGCTCATCTCGCACACGGTGCGCCGGTGCCTGCCGCCGTTCTCGCCGCTGTGGCCGCCGCCGGCGCCGGCGGCGGCGGCCGCCGCCAGTCCGCTGTGGTCGCCGCTGGCCGGCTTCAGCGCCACATCGCCCCTGCCGGCTGCCTTCGGAACCAGCAGTTACGGCCTGCAGTCGCTAGGGGAGCTGGGGTCGACGCTGGCCGACATGGGCGGCCAGCGCCAGCAGCCACCGCATAGCATCGGCGGGTGCGTCTGGGGTGCAGCAGGGTGCAGAGGGTGCGCCTGGGGTGCAGCAGGGGCTCAGCGGGTGAGCCAGTGGCGTCTGCGGAATGTCAGCAATGTCGGTGTGACGGCTCCAGGGCCCTGACCTGGCGGGCGAAAGGTCCCATTAGCGTGAACTGGTATCTGTGTTAGTGTGTGTCCGGTTCAAATGAACTATAATCAGTCGTTGCAGGCCTATCCCTTCGTCAGTCCATAGAAGCATGCCTATTTTTTGGTTGACCTCCGCTCATTTTCAGCCCAAATGACTAAAATGACATTCGCGCGATCCGTCAAACACGAAGTAACCTTGTGCGTGCGCAGTCGGTGACGCCTCACACGCGTGGCACTCGAGGCGCCCCTGGTGCCGACAGGTACCCGGGCCTGGCCCGGGCCCCCTCTGCTGGCCTGGGCGCCACGTGGGGCGCCGGCTGGGGCGCCGCCGACCGTACGGGCGCCGACGAGGCCCTTTACGGCGCCCGCCGAGGCCAGCAGCGCGCTGACGCAGTTCATCCAGAACGCCACCTTGCAGCCGGCTGGTAGGTCTGGCCGGCCCTTCGCCGCTGTTGAGGCGGTGGGGGGGGAGGGGGGAGGGAGGGACACAGACCCCCGACGCCTGGAGTCTGGAGCCCTGGGCGAGTCTGGCCGATACTTCGCCCATGTTGGAGGGGGGGGGGGGGGGCGGGAGAACAGACACTCTGTTTTGTTTCTGGTGCCGAAAAGATGACTGGCAAGGTCAGAGTCCTATTTCGACAAAAAGGCCAACAACCACACCTACGATGTGCGATCGTCTACGTTCGTTAGCGCTGCTGAGTCGTGTCGTAGCAGTGCCATCTACATAGCGGCGCTGGGTTGCGTCGTTGCGGCGCTAGCTACATCGCGCCAAACACTGCTCCGCTATGCGGCGTGTGCCCGTTTGTTTGTCGAGAACTCCCGTCGTTGCAGACGGCATGTTGGATGCCCCTGCCGCGCTCATATCGCGCCCAAATCTAGCCTTGCCACCACAGGACTTTTCGGCAACCGGTGGTTCCCTCCACTGAGCTGCGCCGCTGTATCAATCTCTGACCATGCTGATCCGTGTTCAAGCGGCAATTTAAATGTTGGCTCTTTTTCTTGAGACATCCACAAAATGTGTCGCTCGGGCAAGTGCTGAGGGCCGTGTCATTTGGTTCGCCAGACCACCGAGCCGTGGTCTGCATGTGAGCCTATGGTCTTCGGTCTGGACGCTGGCAGTGCTCCTGCCGCCAGCCATCGCAGACGGTTACCAGCAGGTGGCAAGCGGTTACCAGCTCGGCTCACCGCTCGGCTGCCATTTGAGTGATCTCGTTGGCTGAGAGCACGGAGCTCAGAAACCAAGGTTGCCGCCGTTGCATTCGCTGGTCGTATGGGATGTGTTTGGATGTCGTGACCGATCTACGTGTTTGGCGGGATTATGGTCATAGTTCACCGCTTCGTTGTGTGTTCCTGACGGATCCATTTTAAGATCACATGGCTGGCTGAGAGCGAGGGGCGTGCCACTCCCTCGCAATGTCTGCGGTCATGCCTTTTTACAGCAGTAAACTACACAAAAAATAACTGCGTCGCATTTGTCCGCAGGCTGCAGGTACTCCGGCGTTCCTGTCACTCCAGTGCCATGTCGATTCCACTCTTTGTTTGCTCGGCTCACTCGTGTCCATCTCGCGATCAACGAGAGGCTTTTGGTTCAGTTACGCAACCTTATGGGTTAGCGTAGATTATTTCAACAACGTGGAACCAATTGCTTATTGGGTAAGATGGACCACGCACTGCCGCCAGGTGGGCAGTGTCCTTTCTCCTCGGCCACCTACGAGCCCCTGTCTGGACTGGGCGGCGGAACAACGCCTTCTGCCCCGCCCGCGACCCTGCTGCCATCTCTCGGTGACCCGCTCAACAGCTCCGGAGGCTCACAGGTGAAACCGCTCGCCGTTGTAATCGGCTTGCTGATGCGCTCCATTTTAAGTACAGTGTTCTCCTCCGTAGCAGGGCGTCGACCCAGGCGATGGAACCAAAGTGAGCGGTCGGAGTCTATACGTTATCGAATATGTCTGAGAATATACGTTGTCTCGCTTTTATAAGCACCTCCGACCGCATGGCCTGCTCCGTACCGCAGTCCTGTCCGCGGCTCTGCTTGTAGTTTTGGTCCGATGTGGTCGCCGCAAAGCCGCAATGCAGCCGCGTGCTTGGCCGTGAAAGTTTTGCTGTTTACGATGTGTGCGCAGTACGGACTGTGCTGTGCGCGCTGTGTACGCTGTAACAACTGCTGTTTACGTCGTGTACGCTGCTCAGACAGCGTTGTGCATGCTGCACAGACCGTGCTGTTTATGCTGTATGCGCTGTGTGTACGCTGTACAAACTGTGCTGTTTTACGTTGTGTTTTAACAGGGCTTCAAACAGCTCCCAGGGGAGCAGCAGGAGCGCCACCAGGAGCAACTCGCCCCCCAGTGACGAAGGTTCGTACGCTTGCTCCTATGAGGCTGGCGTGTAAAACGGGTAATGGCAGTTCAGATCAGGGTACCGATAGGTTTATAGTACTATGTTGGTGAATTCATTGTGAGAAGATGAATAGCAGTGGGTTTGTTTTTTGTATTAGGGTTTTAATTTGCTGCATCGCAAGTTTCGTTGTAGTGGCGTGTATCATAGATTTATTTATATATTTTTAAGTATGAAGGTACTTATTATAAATTTGGTTTTTTCCGCGTAGGTATTTTGTTCTGAGTTTTATTTGCGTGTAAAGTATTTCTGTATACATTTGTATTTGCTCCATATGTACATGTATTTTAGGTTGCTTGTAGTATGTTATATTCGGACTAATGATAAGCTTATGTAATCTGGTTATATGAAGTCCTGCATCCCTTCCATGCTCTGCTCCCCAGCACGCCCTTCTCCCAGTCTCCCCAGTTAATATTTTCACAACTATAAAATCTGAACCCCATCCGCACACAGATCCGAAATTAAGCGCAAAAAAAATTTCAAATACATGCTTTGACATTTCGGCAAGTCCTTTCTGGTTCAGGTGGTATATTTCTTTTTTGCCATACATTCCCCGCATAGCTGTAACAATTCTGGAAGTTCTGGCTTTAGCATTGACACTGTTGCGATGGAAGTGTGTCATAGGCCCAAATTTTGGGAGCGCATTAGGTCAGAACGCTACGAATGTTTTTGCTCAGCACGGCATAAACGTGTCAATATTTCCGTTCCTCTGTCTTTGCTGGGGTTGAAAGTTGCTTCGTAGCATCAAAAGACATCGCGTCATGCAGTAAAGCAAAATGATGCCGGATATTTTTGCGAGTGCGCTATTTGGCACGTTATTTTTTCTTCTGCTCTTCTCTTTTGGCTGGGATTGGGGGATGACCTCTGTTACGGTCCACCTCAGTCTCCGATCTCAGCTAACGGTTTTTTTTCTTTCGACGAATCTTTTTAACGAGTCCTTCAGAAAGAAAGTTTTGTGAACCAGTTAAGTGAAATCCGATTTGAATCTGGATTAAGATTCCGTCTAAACGGATTCCGCTCTGCCGCTGTACGCGGCGAAACTCCGAATGATGTCGCCACAGTCGCGGATGGTGGAGCGTGGCGGGCGCCGAATGGTCGCGGTGCACGGTGGTGGCGCATTGTTTGTCCGTCCGAGCCGGATAGTGGGGGCCCGTCACCACCGCCATTCATACCACCGCCATTACCGTTACCGTTACGTAGACCGTTACCACCGCCATTCATAGCTCATCTGCAGGAGACGGCACGCAGTTGCAGATGGTGTCCTGGTCGTCACAGTGGTCTCACCTCACGCATTGGTCCCTCTTCCCCCGTCGATGCCGGCTCCTCCGGTGCCAGCTGACGAACGACGGGAGTTGGGTGGGAACTGGAGGTGTTGTGAGGATGACAGGCCTCCGTGGGGCGCGGATGCGTCTGCCGGTCAGCCGTACTTACCTACATACATACATTACTACCTACAATACCTACATACATACATTACTACCTACATACCTACATACATACATTACTACCTACATACCTAAATACATTACTACCTACATACCTACATACATACATTACTACCTACATACATACATTACTTCCTACATACCTACATACATACATTACTGCCTACATACCTACATACAGACATTACTACCTACATACTACATACATACATTACTACCTACATACCTACATACATACATTATCCCCCAATTCCGTCGAACACCAGCCGTTTTAGAGGCACGACAAACAATACATACATTCGTTTCTTCACTAGCCCACTGCTGTCATTACAATCACTGTCCCTGACAGGTCAGCGGCTTCCAGCGTCTCATAAAAGGAGCGCTCGCAGTGCGCGGCGTCACGCACTGGAGCATTGTCGTCAGTACGAGACAAAACCTGACGGGACCCCGGTCCTCGCTAAGAACGGAATCCTTCAGCAACCGACCAAGGCTTCTCGGTTCAACCTCACACTGAAAAGACACTTTATTCTCGAAGCGTGCTCTTTGGTCGCCTGCGGCGCTCTTGTGTCACCGTAAAATCCAGGGCGCCTATTGGTCCTGTCCTCCCTGGCGGCCTTCGTAACGGTCGTTGTGTTGTGCTGCGGGATCCCCGCCCCCTCCCCCTCTCCTTTTCAATGCAGATTGTACTGTATTTTTACTGTATTGCGTATTGTATTGTATTGTGCTGTATTGTATGGCGGGGCAACAAGTCGAGGGCCAGCGCTGAGCGCGGGGCGTGCGCCCGGATAGCTCAGTTGGTAGAGCGTTAGGCTTTTAACCTAACGGTCCAGGGTTCGAGCCCCTGTTCGGGGCGGCGCTTTTATGCATTAGCATTAAAAAGCTCATAATGCACATTCTCACCATGCAGAGAGAACATGCTGGCGCCCTCCCACTGTTGAATAGGATGGGTCGGGGTCAGGCGCGCCGTCGAGATGAATTCCCTGCTACTGTCAGGGGGCACCGAAACCGCGCCGTCGGCCCCGGCCGCCCCTCGGTGGGCTTCGCCGAGGCCAGGGGTGTAGAAACGCTGCCGGCGCTGAGACAAGTTCGCGATCCGTTACGGCGGAGGGAGTATCCCGGCCCGATCACACGCCCTTGGGCCGGCGATCTCCCGTACAGCTTGCGCGCGGAGGAGGTGGATTACTCTCCTCACCGAGGTCGTCCTAGCCCTAGGTCGCCCTAAACCCAGGTCGAGCCAGTGGCCTCGCGATGTCCGCCCGTTATTAAAACGGGGCAATTCCCGGCGCCCGGCCTCGGCGGAGTCTCGTCTGTTCTTTCCGGCAGGGGGCTATGAGCTAAGATCAGACGGATCAGATCAGGTCAGAGATAAGAACTTCAGAGGAGAGGGAGAGGGAGAGGGAGAGGGAGAGGGAGAGGGAGAGGGAGAGGGAGAGGGAGAGGGAGAGGGAGAGAGGGAGAGGGAGAGGGAGAGAGGGAGAGGGAGAGGGAGAGGGAGAGGGGAGGAGGGGAGAGAGAGGGAGAGAAGAGGGAGAGAGAGGGCGAGGAGAGAGGGAGAGAGAGGGGAGGGAGAGGGAGGAAGAGGAGGGAGAGAGAGAGAGAGAGAGAACGCGAGGGTTTTGAGATTACCCGTGCTTTGTCGTCCCTGCCAGGTCGTCGTCCCTGCCAGGTCGTTTCGCAGGGAACGCCGCACACTGCGCTGATCGATAGTCCTTTACTCGGGCGGTGCCGGGAACGATGGGACCGGCATCTGCCACAGCATCTGCACGGCGAGGGGTCTGAGGCGGGCCTGGATTGCAGACCGGAGGGGCGCTGGATGGAGGGCAGATTACCGGGGTGTGTCCGTTAGCATTGTGTCCGTGAAGGGTGCTTAAACGTGGAGCTTGCGGCCCACCGCTCCGGTGTTGGCCAGAACGATTCAATGCAATGGATCTGAACATCTGACTGAATGGGCTGGCAAACTTGACGAATTTCCTGACGGAATTTTGACTAGAATAGTGTATGGCTACGTTTTTCCATTCAGTGCCCCGATGTTGACGAAAGCGGCTTGAATGAGGCTTGGAAACTCGTCTGGTTTCATTATCGGATTCGACCTGAATGATACGCGGATATGCGTTCCATTAGGCGCTCCAATGTCAGCCAAAACACGCGACAGGCATCGCTCCGATCCGACCCGCGCTGTTCGTCCACTTTGATCATTTGCTGTCTCTCCATCCGCAAAGGTGTGCTTTTGCATTTCACCATTTGATATTTTCCATTATAGTCAAGCTAGCGTTATATCTTGCTCGCCCACCGTTTATCTGCGTCGGAAATTTTGCGCCGCACGCACAAGTAAGAACAGCGCACACGAAACATGGTGAGCATGACGCCGTAATGCATGCAGTGAGGCGGGCCTGCTAACATGGAGTAATTCGCATACTATCTCCCTTTGTTAAAGTTCTGGAGAAATCTGAGACTTTTGCAGACGTACACCCATGGAAGTATTCAGGCAGGAAGCGGAGGAAAAAAATTGGCGATGATCGCCAGTTACGGTCAAGAATGGAGTGTTGCACAGAGATAGTGAAAATGGGCGGCTTGATTCGTCACTCTCCTGAAATACCGTGATAGAACTAGAAAGGCGTCGCCATCTTGCTTTCCCGTCCTTGAATTTGCTGTGTTGTTCGATCTGTCATCTGATCAACCTGCCTGTCATCTGACGTGTCCCACCACGCATCGTGTATCGACTATATCGTTCCAAAGGTTCTTACAAAGGCGTGCGATCTGTTTCACTTTGACTCCCATGATGCTCTTTTCACCGTCATATTTACTACGTACGAAACGCATACGCTTCATCGAACATGCAGTCCAACCCTTCCTCTGCCCGATAAAAGTGCTATCAAGTTTACTAAGGCGTTATATCGAGTGAATGCGTGGTGAGGGAAAGTTTCTGGAGCGTAATGAACGTTGTCTCAAACGGTTATTTAAGAAACGTTGTAAATGGTTATTTATTAACGTTCGTTATGGTATGATGCGTTTTTGACTCATGGCGTAACCGCGTTTTCGTAATGCCGATAATGACGAAACGATGCCGTGACTGCTGCCTTCTTCCACTCAGGAATGGACCGCCGAGCACCGGGATACGAGAAGAAACTCCTCTCGACGCTTAACGACTATGACGAGAAGCGAGCGCTGGCCGCCAAGATGCGGCGGGCGCCGGTAAGAACCGGATCTGTCCGGCGGGAACCAGATCGCGCCGGTAGGAAGCTGATCAATCCCGCTATAAACAGATACTCTGTAAGCACCACCTCCGTCTGGTGGCAGCGACAATATTTCGTTTGGAACCAGATCGTTTCAGTGTAAACATCAATAACCGGATCTTTCTGGTGGGAACCGGATATCTTTAGTGGAAACTAAATCGCTTATGTCGGAGGCAGATGGCCCCGGCATGACCTGGTTTGTTTCGGTAGTGCCTAGACCGCCTCGGTAAGGCACGAATTGTTCGTGTGAAAATAAGACGGCTTCGGTAAGAACCAACCTCATTGCCAGATGTGTTTCTGGCAGCGGTCGTTCTAGATTGCTTAGAACGGTGTGTTTCGGAAGGAGCTGGTAGGGAACTTACCGTTTCGGATAAAGGGCATTTGGCGGCAGAGAATGTCGTTCAACGTGGTCAGAAGGACGTACGCCCCTTTTTAGATCTGGTTTGCACTGGCATTTCAAGCGCATTTGCTACATGTTGTCAACATTTTGGTATCATGATTTGTCATTTCTGCGGGGAATTTACATTTTGTCCGTCACTAGGACGATGTGCTCTCTACAGGAAAACCACGCAATTTCCTCTATGCTACGCACTAGATTGCTCTTCATACCTGGACTGGGTTGGAGCTGGAGAAGCAACTTTTCAACCTACCAACCCGCCACATTTGACCCTTGGCAGGCACATCCGCGGCCTCTTGACCTGCTTTTGGACCGAAGTTGCTGGCGTTTACAGGTCAAAAATTTTCACAAGCAAACTAATGTTCTTTTAGGAAGCACCACCATTTAGTTTTATATTTATAGATAAACTATGAAATAGTCAGGGATATTTTCCAGTTGATGTGCTGTATATTATCCATATATAGACGATGTATGGATACAACTATCTTTGTATAAATTTATAGATGTTCATATCAAAACATCTGTAGTTCGCGTGCACTTGACCCCACGCCAACGCGCTTGGTTCTCTCCCTCGCTGTCCGGGGTATGCCGGCTGGGCCGCAGTCCGCTTCGTGTTTTGTTTTGGTAGCGGCCGACAGCGGCAGTAATTGCCAATCCTGGCACCCTCCTGCCTAACTGGCATGTCTTAACATCAGCGTATAGTGACGAACTGGATATAATCCACCACGAACTCAATGGGTAAGAGTCGTTTGCTCCGTTTGCGTTGACCGAAGTATGACGATCACTGGTCGCTGAGAAAGCTGAGAATGGAACTTTGAACTGCGAGCTGGAAAGTGACAAAACATTTTTTTGTGATGTTAGTACACTGGTCGTATGACTGTTTACCACGTAGACTGCTTCGTAGTGATGCGCAGCAGTGACACGCTTTGGTTTCAATTCGCAAGCTTTAGTGTCCGATGTCTCCACTAGGTGGTGCCAAAGCCACGGACGCCGACGGACATGTGGAGCGGCTATGGATTTAGTCGCTCCTCGCCGCACTGGCTGCTGAAGGAGGAGCTGGGAACAGCCAACAAGCCCGGGACGTCCCAAGCCAGTCAGCCATCTCAGGTCCGTCACGAGAGCTCATTTGGTTAGAGCGCCTACATACCGGTTCACCCGCCCGTGGCGGAGTGTGTTGGAGTCGTTTTAGAGGCTCGCTAGTTGTCCTGACTGGGGTGGTCTGCGGATGGTGGTAGCGGCCGCGCTGAAGGTCAGGCAATACCAGAGGGCAGGGCAGGGGTCAGAGGGCAAGCAGACCGCGCCGGGCATCGCGGCACGCTAAACTCAAGCGGCCACCAAACTCTACCGCCGACCCGAAATTTCACGATCGGGTGGTGGGGTAATGGCTCATGCATCAAACACCGTTTAGCGCGGGACGCAGATCCCATTAGGTCATCCGACCAGAAGGGCTCGAACTGAATCTGTAAAGGCCGGCTTGTCGATGTCAGATTGTGAGACATTTGCAGTTTACCGCCCACGTGACGGGTCCTGTTTGTGACGTCATTTTGGTCCCGTGGTCTATAATCAGCAGGCAACAAGGGCTGGTTCTAGCTCGGTACTTCTTACCTGGCTTCGATCTGGAATATCGACCTTTATGGGTTTTTTCTTGGACTTAACGTTTCTTGGCTTTGTGATTGTGGCGTTCACGCTAGGTTGGTCACGGTAGTGGAAGAAATCGTGGAGCATACACCGAGTGTTTGTCCCTTATGAAACGATGTGTGGGGTATTAACGATGCGTGGAATACACCCGCTTAGATACGGGAAGTTCTTCTAATAGATGTGTGTTTGCGCTGTCTTCCGGCAGAAGCTGGGGCTGCTGACTACCACCTCTATGGCCACGCCTTCCGCCTGGCCGTCGACCAATCGCAGCACCGGTGACAGCCGTCTGCCAAGCTTTCTCAGCCAGTCGAACGTCTTCGACTGCGGCATCCTCCCGAAGGCGACCAACCCGGTGAAGGATTTGGCTGAGCTGTTGGAGAGCATTGACGGCCTCAAACAGTATTCGGGTGAGTGGATGCCTTCAGCATGCTGGTGGAGTAGATGAATTAGACTAAGTCGAGGTTCGCGGGATGTATTCACTAACCGTTGTCGGTAACAAGACCGTGGAGGGTCTTGACATTTCGGCCGTCCTTCCTTCTAACCTTCCGATTGTTCTGCTGACAAAAGCCAGTATTCAGTGTGATGGGGTGTACCGATTTAAGAAAATACTTATGTCATTGAAATTTGTTTGTGAAATACTCAGACCAAAGCGTGTCATCGAATTGAGATGAGTTGAATCGGATCGAATGAATTGATGAATTGAATCGAAATCGAACCGAAATGGAAAATGAATTGAATCGAATCGAATGAATGAGATGAATTGAATCGAAATCGAATTGAGATGTAGTGTATCGTGGAAACGCCATGTGACATGAAACTTTCCTGATTAGGTTGGTGAAGTTCTTTCTTGGAGAAACGCTCCCATACTTCATAAAAAGTACGGACGAGAGGTGTCGTCTTGTTCTGCCCGGCCCTTATCCTTGTTTCCACCCGATTCAAGTGTTGCACTGAGGACTAACGACTTTCATCCAACGCCAATAAACGTTAGGATATGTGTAATGCACCATTGATACTCTTGCTAGTGTGCACCACGTGCAGAGTTGAGTGAGACATGGCTGTAAATTACCAGAGGACGAAGGACTCGCTCAGACCATGCTTCGTGCCGTCCGCGTCCCCTGCGCGTGCGACCTTGACCTCTGACCCTGCCAACAGAGCTGTTCCGGGACGAAGAGATCGACTTGCAGGTGTTCCTGGCTATGACCGAGGAGGATCTCAAGAAGCTGGGCGTCAAGACCATCGGTGCCCGCAAGAAACTGATGATGCTCATACAGAGCTTCAGCGGTAGCAACCTGAAGGCCCCCAGCGTCATCAAGTCGTTCTAGGCTCGCTGCGGACCCCGCGGTCTGATGGCCAAGCGGTTGGAGACCGGTGAATTTGGAGCAACTAGACTAGAATAGCGCCGTTGTGGTCAGATCGAGGCCTGCGATTGGCCCCTGTGATTTCGATTGTGATTGGTTATTGGCTAGCCCAGGCTTCGCGACGATTGGTAGTTAGTTCTCTTGTAAGTGGCGGCGCCAGACGCTCTTGCTGGCCGTTTTCGGACGCGGCGCGCCTTTGGTGTGCCGTGTCGGCGCTCGAGGTTCGCTGCTGGCACGTGCACTGTGTTGTTGGCAAGCATAGCCGGCTGCGGGCGGCCGCCATCCTTGGTGGTCCTTGTGATATAAGTGCCTTGCCTGGCCGTGGTGTCGAGGTGATGCCGGCGGCAGTGCGGGGGCATCGCCTTTAAGGTTGTGATCCGCGATGGCGGGTCGCCCATCCCACCGCTCGATGGTTCCATCGGCGTTTGACATCCGATTGGACCGACGGGTGCTGAGGCATCCGTTTCGTCAGCTGCACCGGCTTCGTGTCACGTGACCGCTGCGATGGCCAATCACCGCACGATGACACCTCTCGACGTGACCGAACGCGACTCTAGCATTGCCTGACGATGCGGGCGAGTCCCGCGAGGCCGTTGACCCGACCTGGACCTTCGTGACGTTCCCTACCCCTCCCCCTCCGTCCCCTGGCAGCTCATGCGCGAAACTAATGACCCGTTTACATTGCTCTTCGTGTGTTGTCCACTGGCACCGCGTTTGTGGAGTTCTTGCGCGCCCTTTCCTTGATGGCAACGTCGTGGGTGGTCGATTCACCAGCTGTTGGACAGCGGAGGCTGGCAGGACTCGGCCACCATGTTCCTCATGGATGGGGGCGGCCATCTTTCGTGGTCAGCTGTTGCACGTAGCGTAGGCGGTGGGCCATATCCGGCTTTGTCGCCGGTGGATGGCGACACGCTCAGCTTTCTGGTCTAGACAGACTTCCTTCCTGACTTGGTAACAGCGGTCTGACCAGGCATTCCCGTTGGTCTGGTCTGGTCTGCTCTGAGCTCATGGGATAGGGTTTGGTCTAACTGCCGCCAACAGAAAACAGCTGACGTCGTCGTTTGGAAGTGTTGTTTGTGTCGTTCCGATCTGAGCTAGTGCTGCACTCATGCTGGTGCTGGTGCTGGTGCTGATGCGAAGTCTAGTGCTGGTGCTGGTGCTGGTGCTAGTGCCGAGTCTGGTGCTGTGAGCTCAAACTTGGTAGCAGAACTGGGTACGGTTGTGATTGCGCACTGAAAACTCGCCATGTTGTCTCCAGGCCCGGCAGCTAATACTGCGCACCGCCACGTGCGGGGGCTAACGGAATCTGCCAATGTAGGATCCCTCTAGCATAAAATAATTTTATTTGTCCTAGTACTGACTCAAATAGGAAAGCGGAAGTAAGCTTCTAGTTGAAATTCATTTTACTGGTCTTTGTACTGACTTTGTTGCATTCCTCCAACTCCCTTCAAGGACACCATTTTACATGTCGCACGCGCGAGACCGGTGGAAACTGGTAGAGCAACAGACATTGGTTCTCCATAACTCCTCAGGAAAGGCATCTTTTACCCCTGAGCGATTCTGTAGTCTTCTGCTTCCTTCGCAGCATTGTCATACATTTAGCGGCAAGTGGCGAGGAGGAAGTCCCGATGCGTGTTGGTGTGGCACGCTTGAACGGGATCAGAGGATGTGGCGCCTACGTGATGAAACGAATGGCTTGCGTGGCAGCAGAAGACGAGCGGGACACCACTACAGAGCAGCGTCATCCACGGTGTGTCCTTTGATTTCTTGCGACTCCATCGCACCGCGACTGACCTTGACCCCTTACCACGTGACTGTAATCAAGGGTTGTCGCGGCTGTCTGGATGAGACGGCGGCGCGGGCACATGCGAACACCCCGAAGGTCAAGGCGAACGAATTTTAACCTGGGATGATAATTGAGCCGTGGAGGGTGGAGGAACACACTCGCGGCGCGACGTTGGGTACGTTTTGTCGCCGCACGCGTTGTCTGCTGTTTCTGTTGGAAGAACATGATTCGTTCTCGGCTAGGGCCCCATGACGTCGGACATATGACGCGAATGACGTCACATATGCGGCCAGTGTGAGTGACAAAGCGGGTATTTTAGTGCTCAAGGGAAGCGAGTTGAGGTATAGGTGTTCGTCCCCTGTGTACGTTTCGTCATCGTTAATTAGTTTTGTTCGCTTGTGTTTTGATTTTCGTTAATAAACTTTTGTCTGCATCCACTGCAATGTCTGCGTCTACTGCGGCAACTCCGTTTGTTGACGGGCGTTGTGTAGGAGGGGTATCTGGTAGGAACTGAACTACATTTACTGGGAATAATCAGGTGACTCTCACTTAGCAGTGAACGTCTTCCCCAAGGAACAAAGATTTGTTTGAGAATCTCCGTCATTTCGTATATCGAGCCGCCTCTTTACTTGGACCATGGTGGAATGTGGGTTAAATTCGAGACTCTTGGTAATCTCTAGCGTTGGCGGCGTCGCAGGAGGGTGTGCGACGCAGCCAGCTGTGGCGAAAGAAATATGGCGGTCTTCCCAGACTGCAGAGAGGTTTGTAGTGCACCGGGGGCCTGTGGCCACCCTCGGCCGCTCTGGAAGGGATCACTTTTCAGGCAGCAAACATGCCATGCGTACCAGTCGCTTACGCGGAGGCAACTGAGGCCAGGCCCCTGCAAATGTATGACAGGCAACTGAAGCCAGGTTGCATCTCCCGTCGGCCAAATTTCAGGTGAAGACTAGCCCTGTTTACGTGGGAAGTATATGGTTGCCAGAGTGGAAGAAAAGTGTGTCAATCGTGGCGATCTCGGTTATTCTCTTGTGCAAGTGTTAAAAATTAATTATTATATTATTATTATTATGTGTGAGTAATAATGAAAAAATTGTACTAAAAGTGTGTTTGTGTTCTTAACTTTACAACCAGGCTATGCAACTGACTGCAGAAACTTCAACATCTTGTACTATCTATGTATGGGGAATATGGTACTTGAAAAGAATCTGTGCCAAGCTTCCATTTTCGATATGGTAGCCTAGCCGGCCCGGGATGAACGGTCTTGCTGCCATATGTTCATTTTTATCGATCTTGATCTTTGAGAATTCTTTGCTGACTGGTCGGGTTTAGTTTCAGCTGTCAGGAGGTTGCTGAAAGCCGTGTATGCGCGAGGGTTTAACCGTAAAGGCGCGACGTTTAGAGTGGCGCCGACTATCACTTTGTCGCTGTTGGTCTTGTGGTGTGCCGCATTTTTGCTAAGCTCTAGCTGAGAACATAAAATCGACATGGATTTCTCAGAAAGCAGGTAAGGTTTTTGTTATAGGTCCTTCAATGCGATGACAAAACGCTGCACAGCTTGACCCAAGGACGCCGGGTTACCAGCACCGCGGAGCACGAGGACTAAAAAATTCTGCAGCCGGCCAGTTTTGGCGCCCATCTCGCAACATCTTAAATTCCCTATGTAAGCAGGGCTGCGGTTTCCTGCCTGGTGTTATTCACGGCATGCTTAACAGTCAGTGACTTACGCCTACCCTGCCCCCCCCCCCCTCCCCAGCTTTCCCCCATTTCGTTAACTCATGACGGCGGTGAACTAGAAGCGAACTTCAAGTAGCGGATTACTTGAGGCCAAGCTACTATCACTGTCTTGACTCCATGGCGTCAATGCATTGTCTGGCTGGGCGAGATTGTTTCGATGACATACAGGGGGATTAGCAATGATTACACAGACGCAATTGCTTCTGCACATCTGCCTAGAAACACCATGCCAACCGTAGGCACGTGGCGGAAATCATGGCGGAGCTTTCTTGGCGAGAATGGCTCGTAGGAAATATGTGGAACATCTTGATGCAGGAAAGGATGACCTTGAGCTTTTTCTTGCATTCGACATTACTGAGATCAAAGTTCTGTCGAGTCAACCACCTTCAGTATGTCAGAAAGTGCTGGTTGAATGACGTGATAACGTTAGACAACAATTACATCGGTAGTGCTCAGTATTTCGCGATGTGCTCAACCTTACGAATATTCATCATGTCATCTTGTCGAGGGTGAGCACAGCCCCAAGTGCTCAGTCTCGCCGATGTCTTCGTTATGTAGCACTATAACGTCGGTAAATTAGCACCTCCCGGCATCTTAAACGTCGTTAGGTGAACACGAAAACTTCAAACTCTTAACACTTGAAGCATCGACATGATCGTGGCGTATATCGTATATCCACTGAAGTGAGGCGGTAATTAGAAATCACTGAATTGCCAGCCGACCAATTATGAGAATGTCAACACTTAGCATTGCACTTTAATCTCCTGCCAAAAAGGTCGGTATTTTATGTCTAGGTCAGACATTATTAAAACCATTCAGCCTTTACAGTGATAGCAACTATGGAAAAATCCAAGATGCTTTTTGCTTTCTGAGCAGCTTAACGCGATATACCATGATATCCCTGACTTGCGCTGTCAGAATCAGAAATAAATGTTTCTTGAGGGTAGTGTCACAGATGTGTATGGAGGATTGAACTCAAATAGCCATATTGAACAATATTTAGTGCAGTTCGCAGCCGTGCTTTTCTTGAGACCTAAACCCCTCTTATTTCTGAGCTACACGCCTGTGAAGCTTGGTAGATTTTTTGGGGTAATGTTTCGAGGCCACCCTGGCATACATGACGTCATCACAATGTCATTCGAATCTGCCATTCCATAAGCCATGCGCCGGTCAATGCGAAGAAAACTATGATTGTCCATTCGTTCATTCTGACACTCGTGAGCACGATTTCCAGATGTAATGGCCGCCCATTTGCTCTCAATCAAAGTTGTGTAATGTACGATGACGCAACCAAGCAGGAGCGCATCGGGCAGCATACTAAATAAAAGGAGGATCTGTGCTGTCTAGCGCAGTCTTCTTTACTTAAAGCATGCCAATAGTTATAAGCGAGCTTGTTTCATCGCATGTGATGCTTGCTTAAACATCTCCCAATGCAAAACATTTCTTTTGATGAAACCGAATTTCGCTCTTCTTATAAATTCGGTGAGGAAGGTTGTGTAACGAGAGGGAACACTGACATTGGCCGAGCTAATCTATGCTCCAATGACAAAGGTCACATTTTTCGCATATTTATCACACTAATTCTCGCGTTTCCCTCGAAGGTGGCTATGCTTGCATCGAAGAAGT